CTTTCTCGCCGAAGAGGTCTTGGCTCTTCCGCTTGGCCGGCCTCCAGGGGACCGTCACCTTGTTGCCCGTCACCTGCCGGTTAGATCGATCCGTATACCGGCGGTTAAGCCAATCCATCCGTAATAAATAAGAAAACAAAGGTCAACGCAGCAAAAAAAAATGAACCACCTCCAAGTATTTCATTTTTCCGGGTGTGGATGCAGGCCGATCGGAAAACGCGGCCAGCACATGTCGGGCGACGGACAAAGCTCGACAACATCTGTATTTTGAGTAGTCCTCCTCCTGTTGATCAATGTCGGCTGTCTCGTGAGACTGGGACGACAGCAGTACGTCCCGGGAGTGCCCCCCAAAGCGCTGTCCAACAAAAAGGTCATTCTTGGATAATAACGCATCCGAGGGGTTGAGAGCCGGCTTGTAGTGTGTGATTAATCATGTAGGAAGTGGCAGCCAATACCGAGTGTCGTTGATGACGCGGAATTCCATCATCCGACTAAAAACGCACACCCACGACGGTGACATCACTCAGAAATTGCGTTTGAACGAGTTTCACTGTTTCAACTCGGAGGACAACGGCGGGAGAATGAGGGATGGGCATCATAGGCCAAAGCTGTAGACACCATGTGTGACTCTAAAGAAATGTAGTCCACCTACCTGTCCTGGCAAAAAAAGGCGCCTACGTAGCTCGATCCAACAGAGCATCGTCCGGCAAAAAACTCAAGTGTAACTGATACTGGTGTGAGTTCTCGACTTGTAGCAGTCAACATTAGCCGCGAAAAGGTGCAGGACAAAATGCGAGCTGACGCGAAGGCCCATGTCTCGTTCTTCTGCAGCTTAATAGGCCGCCTTCCCTCTATTCACCTCACGGATATTATTAAGTCCCTGCCTCACGGCAATGACGAGTTCCTCGCAATCTCTATCAGGGTACCTTCCGGTACAGTGCCCAAAAATCGTAGACTGCAATACCGTAAAGAGGTTAAGAGATGGCACACCCCCTAGAACGATATTTCAAGCTCGATTGCGCCGCAACCAAGGGTGCGTCAACACCAAGAGTGGTGGTATTGGGAACATCTCGTCGACGGCTTTCCGTAGACGTATCGGGCTCTTTACGCACCCACTTGGTTACGGAGCATTCGAGCTTTGGAAGTCTGTCTAGGGGGGGGGGGGTGACAACGTGACAATTCTCCGCCCTGTACGGTACTCCAGTTTGCTCAAGGATCCGTCCCGCTCCCTTCAGCAAATTGCCTCCTCAACTGAGTATATACCTACCGGACGATCCTTCAGAGCTTGCCCTCGAGAGTTCTCGTGTCAATCCTTCTTGATCGGACATTTCAAAAGGCCTTGGTCAATCTACACCTCCTGGATATTCGACCAAAAAGGAAGACGACAAGATCTCGCGGGAGGAGGTCCTGAACGGCGTATCATCCCGCACGCATGAACCCTGGCGAGGAGGTCTGCCGGAGTGGGGCAGGCCAGTGAGCAAAACTGGCATAACCTACGACTTTAGGGCACCGTATACTGGAAAGTAAAGTGCCACGCAGCCAAGCAACGGAACTACTTGCTGCCGACGACTCACCTCTGGCATGGCGTGAGGAGCTGCAGCATCAGCCGGGGCCCCGACCTCATCCTTTCCCGCTGCCGAGACCGATGGTGAGGTAGCTCCTGCCTCCGCGCCGTCCCCCCCCACGTCCCCGCCACCGTTCGCGCTCCCTGCCGCCGCCGGCGCTGCCGCGTCCGCCGCCACGGCCGCCGTTCCCTCCGTCGCCGACTCGCGAGACTCAACGCCGGCGCCGGAGATGGTCGAGGCGCTCCGGCTCTCACCCTCGCCGCCAGTAACCTCTCCGTTCTTGTGCTTCTTGTTGTTCATGGCGGCGGCGCCAACGTCCACGCCCGCCGTTGCCTCTTTGTGGGAGCGCTTGCCGGCCGCGATCGCGGGGTCCGCCGCTGGCTCGCCGCCTCCTACGACTCCCGCCTCCCCGCCGCCGGCCTGTTGATCTTGCCCCTGCTTCTTCCTCTTCTTCTTCCTGCGCTTCTTTTTGTTGCTGCCGCCGGGGGTTTCCACCTCGCCGCCGGCGGCGGCGTTTCCGTGCGCCTCCTCCGCGCCGGCGTTCAACCGCTCCTCTCCTCCCTTATCCTTCCCGCTACTTCTACCGTTCTCCAGCTCCTTCCTCGAATCACCGGCCACGACCCCATTTTCCTGGTGACCATCTCCTTGCTGTGCTGCCGCTATCTTCTGTTCGCCGGAGGGCGTACCGTTCGCGGCGTGATGATGATGATGATGCCCCTCTCTCCCTTCGAGCACGCTTCCACCGTTCGCGCCGTGATCGCGACTGCTCCCAGCACCGCCATTCACCGCGCCGCCCTGCCCCTCCTCTGGACTCCGGCCGTCTTGCTTCTTCTGCCTCTTGCTGCAGCTTTCTACATCTCCGCTCTCACCACCGTCTTTGTCGCCGCCGCTGCCGCTGCCGCCGCCGTCTCCGAGCTGTCCCGATCCCGCGGCCGCGGCAGCAGCCGCCGCGGCCGCCTCAACCATCTCCCTCTTCCTCCTCCGCTTCCTGCTGCCCTTGCTCTCGGTCCTGGACGCCGCCGCCGCCGCCGCCGCCGCCGGCCCCACCACCACCACCACCGGAGGAGACGGGGCCACCACCCCGCCTCCGTTGCCCGCCCCCCCCGCCGCCGCCGCCGCCTTGCCACCGCCGCTTGTCGCCGCTTCCACCGGAGCGGAGCTCGCGGCCGCCGGCTCTTCGTTTTCTCGCGATGACGTAGTAGCGCAGGTCGCGGCGCCGGCTGTTGCTGGTGGCGGGACACCAGCGGGTGTAGCGGGTGTCGTCGTCGCTGGGGTGGTGGTGGTGGTGGCGATAGCCTTGACGGTGGGAGGGAGAGGTGTTGATGGGGGAACGGTAGGCGGTGGTGGGGACTTGACCGGTCCCCCGCCTGACTCGGCCGCCGTCGCCGGCACCGCCGAAGTGCCTGCGTTCCACAACCATCCCGTACCGTATACAGCAGTGGTACCGTATATATACATATATGGTTTTATCGTATGGCCGTAGAATACACAGTTCACAGCAAAAAAACGAGCAGACACACACGTGCGGAGGTCGGTAAAATTAGAGAAACGTCGATAGCATTGGCAGAAGGAGCGCTAAGTGGGACTACTCCCGTGCAATACGTCGAGAACGTCCGAAGAAGGAGCGCTAAGTGGGTCTATTCCTGTGCGAAACGTCGAGAACGTTCGAAGACGGAGCGCTAAGTAGGACTACTCATGGGTGAAAAAGTGGGTCTGCGGGAAGCCAGTAGGCCCCCGTATAGACGGTCTCGCCAAGAGATAGGCAACACATCAGACACCACCCCGGTGGCCGATTTCTAACGCCCAACTACCTACTCCTGCAGCGTGAACAGCAGTGATGATGCCGAAAAATGGCGGCCTTTCGAACCGCCGTCTCGACGAGAGAGCTTTCCGATAAAAGTATCATCATTTCATTTGGGCGTTCTCTTTACCGTCGTGGAGTAGTCTAATCGAGCAATGAAAATCGGTCCAAGGGGGGTGAGGTATCTTACGCAATAATCTACGGTGACAAATCTCGACGGCGCTCGACAAGAAGCACACCACCTACCAACATGCCGACGTGACAGATCTTGCCCCTTGCAACCCGCACATGCCTCACCACCGACAACTACCAGCATGACCCCGACTTGCCCCTATGTAACAAACCCGCACACATGCCCAAGTCACACCTCCGCGGTTGCCGTTGCACCCTTCTTCTCCTTGGCGAGGTGGCACGCCGACGAGTTCCTTCCCCTCCGGCGCGGGTACCAACTTTTTTCGCTTCGTCTCAGGAGCGGCGGTAGATGCCGGTGCAGCGGGCTTTCCAACCGCAGCGGCGGAGGCGGCGCTTAAAACCTTAACCGCGGGGGAGAGGGACGGCGCGGGGGGGATGCTAGCCACGACGGGCTTTGGAGCCGGGCGCCGAGTGTAGAACAGGACGTAGGCTTGATCCCTGAGCACGGTCTCTCTCTTGACCTGCAACGTCGTGACGTGAGGGGAGCAGCCAGATTTCGGTTACAGGTAGGGTGCCCGTCAGGCGGTTAGATCACCCGATGGCGCAAAATAACGGCCGTGATGACGTGCGTGCAACGAAAGCAAACGGTTTCAAGGCCACAATTGTTTCAACCCTGGAGAGATATCAAAGCGGCCTACTTGCTGGACGAGCCCAACCAGCCTCGACACCCAACAACTCACAACAACAACAACAACAACAACAACAACAACAGCAACAGCAACAACAGGTAGCAAGACGTTTCGCATCAGCCACGAAGACAGAGGCCACCGAACCTTCGAGACGGAGCAGTCGTCCATCCTAGACCACATCCCGGCGCACGATCGCACATAGGCGTAGTAGTGGCCAGACGACATCGAGCCTCCAGCGTGTACAACAACCCTAGAAACATTTTTTTAATTTTTTGCGGCAGTGATATCGAACAGAAGAATGACAGAAAATAGCAAAATTAGTCCGAGATAGTGAAGAAACGTTCGCGGTGACAAGCAAGAGTTACCTGCCATGCTCGCCTTCGATTTCCACTACTACGGGTTCAGCAACACCTTCCCCTCTTGTTGTGTGTCCTCACGACAAGGCGATTTCCACTACTCCATAGTATGACTTACACATGGCGACTTTTGTCAATCTGGAGAGATTTCGAACCCACAACCTAGGTAGAGCCAGCGGTTTACGAGGTCACCGACTGAACCACCGGGGGTGGCCGGCTACAAGGGAAGGAAAGAGAACCACCCTCGAGAAAAGAGATAAATAGCACTTCTACTGTGGTAGTCATTCCGTGTGTTGGACGTGAGCATAAAAAAAAACAACACCAAAACCGGACAAGAAACGAAAAACGAACCGAGGGGGACGAGGACAACCGCATCCGATCATTTACGGGGGGGGGGGGGTTCAAGCACACAAAAAATCAAAGAGTAAACAGGAGTCAAGTGGTCCCTGTATAAGGAGGCGAACAATATGGTCGGTCGTCCTGTGCACAAGGGCGGCGGTGGAAATCTCGTGACACAGATCGAACATCCAAGCTTTCTCACATTCTCGCCATAGTGCTGGGGGCCCCGCACAAGGCCGACTACACCCCCCGTGGCACTAGGCGGCCTTATACAGAGACCGCTATCGTTGTGGCAAATGTAAGGAGAAGAGACAGAGGAGCAGCGAGAAGAGCCAAGAGATGGCTGCACAGCGGAACACTGCTGCTGCAGCTGCAGATGGACAAGGCAGGCACACAATGGCTACACACTTGTCGCAGCAGATACTCCCGACGCTTCTGCTGCCGCGAAGCGAGAAATTAACTTCATGAGGAAAAAATTGAACGGGGAAAGGGTACGCAGACCCTACCCCTAACCCTCAACTGGCCCCGAATCCATACTTTATCCAACATGTTTACTCAATAGAAAAACCCTGCCGAGGCTAGTAGTCTACTGGGAGGAGGAGTGCTCACCCCGTGAGGTCGTACAGCGCGGAACGCTCCGGTCCCGAGACGGAGAGGTTGAGGACATCAGCGAACTGGATGTGGTCTTTGATCTTGCTCGCCTTGCGGGTGAAGACGAACCTCTTGAGCTGCAGGACCAGCGCGTTCGGGGGCTTTCAACAGGGGCACCGCACATTGGCGAGAGGGGGGGGGGGAGGTAGGGGTTGTACTCATCGTCGTGCATGCCGTAAATTAGTGGCTAGACCATTAACCTCGCATCCCTACAAAGCCGGGACGGAGCACGCCGCGTTCTCGCCGGACCAGGCTCTCACATCACCAAGCGCGAAGCGGAGGGGGGGGGGGGGGGGGGGGGGGGGACCCTGTTAAACCTCCCCTTTTTGGGGGAACGTAAACCCCGCCCCCCCTAAAAGGGGGGAAGGGGGAAAAACTCGGGTTTTCACCCGGCCCAAAAAATTGTTAACCAAATATAATCAAAGGGTGGGGCAACATTTTTCGTTTTAAGTGCCCAACCCAAAAATCCCAGGGGTGACCGGGGGGGGG